GAGTCTCTTCTCGTGACTCAAACACCTCTTCAAGGTCCTGTCTCCCAGCACCACTGCATTAGGGATCAAGTTGCCAAACCATGAACTTGGGGGCCCATTCAAGCCATAGCAGGAATCCTAATGCAGGAGAACCTGGGCCAAGGTGGGGATGAGGAAGGGTAGGGTGTGGAGAGGAAAAGAGGCCCCATTAGGAGTTACATCTGCAGGGCTTGGGGCTGGAGTTTGAAGGGCTCTGGTTGCCTGCTAAGGAGCCTTGACTGGCTTTTGTTTTATTTTGTTTTAGTTTTAAAGATATATTTATTTATTTAGAAGGCATATTGTCATGAGAGAGAGAGAGAGAGAGAGAGAGAGAGAGAGACCTTTCATCTACTGATTCACCCTCCAATGGCCACAAGAGCTGAGGCTAGGTCTGGCTGAAGCCAAAAGCCTGGAACTCCAACTGGGTCTTCCACATGGGTGACAGGGGCCCAGGTTCTTGGGCCATCATGTACTGCTCTCCTAGGTGCAGTAGCAGGGAGCTGGATCAGAAGCAGAGCAGCTGGGACTCCAACAAACGTTCATATGGGATGCCGGCATCCCAGGTGGTGGTTTAATCCACTGTTCCACAACACTAGCCCCGGAGCCTTGGCTTTCATTGAAGGAACAGGAGCAATGGAAGCAAGAGGGTGGTTTGATCTCTATCGCTTCCTAGAAAGGCACCACGCTTGCTGATCTGAGGAAGTGGCTTGAGAGCGGAAAGACTTGTGGTCAAGCGGCCAGTTAGAAGCACACAACTTGGGGTGGGATCTGGAATCAGGCTGTGACTCAGAAAGGGGATGCAGTGGGGGAGGGGGAGGCTGATGTTGTGGCACAGCGGGATAAGCCGCTGCTCGTGATGCCAGCATCCCATTTGATTACCTGTTCGAATCCCAGCTGCTCCACTTCCTATCCAGCTCCCTACTAATGCACCTGGGAAAGCAGCAAATGATTGGCCCAAGTGTTTGGGCCTGTGCCACCCACGTAGGAGACCTGGGTGGAGTTCCCCTGGGCCCTTGTGGCCATCTGGGGAGTGATCCAGTAGGTGGAAGATCTCTTCTTCACTCTGCATCTCCCCCAACCTCCAACTCTCTTTCTTCCAAGTAAATAAATCTTAAAAAAAAAAAAAAAGGTGGTGGTGGGGGAGTGGAGGCTGTAGTCTGAAGTCTTTCTGAGGGTCTGGACTGTGGCTGTTATAAAGTTTGACATCCCCAGTGTCCCCTGTGATAACAGGCATAAGGCAGGGAGCTCAGCGAATGTTTGCTGGAATGAGCAGGTGGAGGAAATAATCAATAATATTTAGTAGCCAGGTGGGAGGGGCCGTGAAGGAGAGGGTAAGTGTTGGGAGACCTGGTTGTTGATGTTAGGGGGTTGGGAGAGCAAGGAGAGATGAGTCCAGTGTTGGACATGTACAGATAGGAGAATTTAAAGTCATCCAGGTAGAAAATTAGAAATATTAAGATGGGAATCTGGGAGAGGAATTAGGGGTGGAAACAAGAAAGAACCTGAATCTTCAGTGTATGAATGGCAGTTAAGTCTCCGAGAGTGAATGAGCTGCCCTTGTGAAGATGTGTGGCCAAGTTCAAGGACAGATCCCTTGAGAACGCCGGTGTTCACTTGATGGGCAAGGGAGCGCCAGCAGCCAGGAGACTGGCCTGGAGGGAGGAGGTAAACCTGTGGACCGAACCCAGAAGCCAAGGAGAAGGCATGGCCAGGAGCATCCAGAGCCTCAGAGAATGATGGAGATGGAGAGCGGACCCTTCCCAGGCTTGGCCATGTAGGAGGCCACCGACGCTCTCGGCAGCAGCAATGGCAGCACGAAAATGAGGGCACTGGGAGAGGTGGACGGGGAGAGGGAGGGAGTGCAGAGAAAGATGTCTGGCTGTTGAAGGGGAAGGGGCGCGGGAGGGGAGGGATGGATTTTAGGAAGCGGGGGATGCAGGTGTATTTGTAAGTCAGAGTGGAGAAGAAAGGACACTGGAAGATGCAGGACAAAGGTCACAAAGGAATGCATTGGGGGTACCTGAGGGAAGGATTCAGAGGTAAGGCCGTCGGTGAAAGTCAGGCAGCTCCAGGTTTTCCTTACAGAGCTGGGACAGTGAGGTCCAGTGATTCGCTCAGGATCCCAGAATCAATAAGGAACCCCTGGGCTTCTGTCCCCACTGATCTTCCCCACCCATTCTCTGGAACATTAAGCCATGTCCCTCCCGTGGGTCCAGGGGCTCAGGCTGAGCTGTGGTGCAGCTTGAGGCAGGGTTCCCACTCCCACTAGGCCTTACTTCTTCACCCCGTGGCCCCCGTTCTGCCCTGGGGCGAGTTCCCTGGCAGGCATCCACCGGCTCACTTCAGCCAGGGTTCTTGGCAGAGCACCAAGAGGGCAGACCACTTTCTGCCTGGGCTCAGCTCTGCCCAGCAGGTTGGGTGAGCCAGTCGTCTCGGCAGCTGGTCACAGGCAGAGGCTGGTACACTCAGACAGGAATGCATCAGGTGTGACTTTGATGCCCAGGCACCCTACTGTGACTCTTCTCTCACCTTTTTCTATACCCAGGGGCTAGGCCCACATTGGGGGGACAGCCAGAAGGCTGCACTGTCCCGAGGAGCAGCTAGCCCAGTGAGACTGAGCCCCTGGAGGACCCAGGGCCACTGAGCAGTGCTCTTGGCTGGACTTGACCAACAGGGGCATAGGTTCAGCGGCTCCCAGATAGGGTACCTTGGCCCATGTCCTAGGACTGGCCAGTGAGTGTAGTCCAGTAGCAACATGGTTTTGGAATAAAGACATGCAACACAGAACTGTTCTGGAAAGAGCCCTGGGAAGGGCTAGCTGTCCTGTGGCTTGGGACTGGTCCACGCTGCTCACGTCTGCATGTCAAAGTTTCTTACCCGACCCGGTCCATCCTACAAGGGACTGAGTCTGTGTTTCGGCTGCTGTGGAGCGGGCTCTGGGGTAGTGGCTTCCATCTGGCTGAGTGTCAGAATCACAGAGAGGGTGCATTTTGTTGTTGTTTATTTTGTTTGCTGTTTACTGCTCATGCCCAGGCCCTTCTCCTAACCAATTAGATAAAAATCTTGGGGCCCAGGTCCCAGTTTAAGAGGCTACTTCCAAAAACTTGTGGAAAATGGAAAGAAAAGGTCAGTTTATTTTGTTGCAAAAAATTTTGAAATGCATGCATTTTTTTTTTCATTCTTCTTAAATTTTTTAAAGTTCCGCTGGAAGAGTGGGCTGGCACAGACATTTGGTGCAACAGTTAAAACCCCTGTTAAGAGAGAGTGCCTGGATTTGAGTCCCAGCTGTGCTTCCGACTCCAGCTTCCTGTTTTTTTTTTTTTTTTTGTCTTGTTTTGATTTTTTTAAAGATTTATTTATTTATTTGAAAGTCAGAGTTACACCGAGAGAGGAGAGGCAGAGAGAGAGAGAGGTCTTCCATCCGATGGTTCACTCCCCAGTTGGCTGCAATGGCTGAAGCCGTGCTGACTTGAAGCCAGGAGCAAGGAGTTTCTTCCAGGTCTCCCACGCAGGTGCAGGTACCAAGGACTCGGGCCATCTTCTACCGCTTTCCCAGGCCATAGCAGAGAGCTGGATCAGAAGTGGAGCAGCCAGGGCTCGAACCAGCACCCATATGGGATGCTGGCACTTCAAGGCCAGGGCGTTAACCACAGCACCGGCCCCCAGCTTCCTGGGAATACACACCCTGGGAGGCAGCAGGTGATGACTCAGTACTTGATCCCTGCCAGCCAAGTGAGAAATCCAGATTAAGTTCCGGACTTTTGGTTTCTGTCTGGCCCAGCCCTGGCTGTTGCTGACATTTGAGGATTGAACCAGGGATAGAAGATCTCTCTTGTTCTATCTCTCTGCCTTAAAAAACAAAAGCCATAAAAAACCCTTAGGTTTAACTCCTCAGATTGTTGCTTTGTGCACCAGTGTTTATGTCACCTACCGGCCGGGGCCAGCCCCCAACCCCTCTGGGGCTTGGAGTGGAGCTTGGGGAATGCCTCGTTGGGGGACAGAGTGTTGACTCCATGACAGAACGGTGCTCAGGACTTTGATGGATAAAACCAGCGCTCCTCTCGATGCTGCCCCTCACCCCTGAGAGATACTCCAAGGTTTTCTGTGCATCCGCCGATGATCCCAGCCCTGGTGCTTCCCTCCCTTCCTTGATCAATTCTGAGATCACCCGTGGGCAGCTGGTGACATGCCCGTCACAGGCCCACCCCAGGCCGGCTCCGGGACAGGGCTTCGGAATGTGTGTGGTTAGCAGATGGCCAGCTGATGGCCGGGAAAACGTGGCACTTAGCGTCCTGTGCCTCTTCCTGTGGCTGTGGAGGCCACAGAGCCTCCCCCTGCCAGGACTCAGCTGCATGGACCTGGCTGAGCTGGCGGCGCAGGGCACTGGGCAGCTCCCCACTTCCTTTGCCTGGTCCTGACCTCGCTGGCCTTTGCCCTTACTAGAAGCATCTCTGACTCCTCCTTGGCCACCCAGACCCTCGCGGCTCACGTCCTGGGTGGCGCACTTAGACATCAGAATCCAGACGGGCTGGAGGGGCCCCACGAGAGCCACTGTGTGGCCCAGCCTGTGGCCTGAACAGGCAGCTTGGCTGGAGCCCCAGGAAATGGATAATGGACAGGAGGGCACGCCTTGGGGAGTGGAGCCGGTGGACATCAATGAAGCACGAATCAAGCCCTGGGACAGTTAGCTTGACTTCAAATCACCAGTGGGTAGAGGTCCCCATCTGCCCCCTGGAGCTGACCCTTCTCCGTCAAAATGGAGAAGAAGTCGGTAACGGGGACCACACAGAGGAAGCGCGAGTAGGCGAGTCCAGCTTGGACCTAATCCTTGAGGGCTGGGGCCCTGGTTTCCCTTTCTGGGGCAGGGCCCAGCTGGCTGCCTGGAGGAGGGAAGGGGCTGGCGTGGGTGTGTCCTGCTCTGGGTCTAGGTGAGAGTGTTTGTGGAGCCGACCGGACAGACACCTGTGCCTCCTACCTCCTAGGTGGCCCGAGGCAGCCGGGATGACAGCTCCCCCCAGGAAGCCCACCTGCTGAGAAACATGATCAGCAAGTCCCGTGAGTACAGCCAGGAGCCCTTCGCCCCCAACACACACACACACACACACACACACACACACACGGCATGGAGGGTCTGCAGAAGCCAGCCTCTGCAGCATCCAGGAATGGTGGGGGCTCCTCCCTTCCTCCTAGAGGGCGGTGGGGACCCGAAGACCCAAGGCCTGCTTTAGGGCCAGGAGAGGATGGGGACGGGGGTCTGCTGGAGGTGGTTGTGGGAGGGCTAGGATGGGACAGGGGAGAAGGCAGACTGGAGCTGTACCTGCCTCTTTCTGCCTCCAGCTCCTCTGTGCATGTGCCCTGCAGGCTGGAGGCTCCTGGCCATGCTGGCTCTGGTCCTGGTCCTCATGGTGTGGTATTCCATCTCCCGAGAGGACAGGTACATCGAGCTGTGAGTGCATCTTCTATGGCCTTCCACTGGTTCCTGCCAGGGCTGGGGGCTTGGGGCAGGAGGGTTCGAGAGCCAGGGCAGGGCCCCACCCTTCTGTGAGGGTAGATGGGGGTGGTCTTGAATGGGGATGGGGGTCTTGAGTGACTCCCTGGTGCGCATGCCCAGAGAGTGCAGGAGCAGGAAGAGCTGGACCCTCCTTGATTGGGGTTGGAAGTGGAACTTATGTCGGGACAATGCCATCCTGCAAATCTCCCTGCAGTGCTTTGAACCTGGGTGTCAGAGGGGAAGGTGGGATGCTGGCCCCAGGGCCCTGTGGTCTGACCAAGGCTCCAGTCTCCTCTCCTTTTCCGTCTCCAGTTTCTATTTTCCAATCCCAGAGAAGAAGGAGCCATGCCTACAGGGCGAGGCAGAGCGGAAGGCCTCTAGGATCTTTGGCAAGTAGGTGCAGGAGGATAGGGGCTGGGGCGGCAGGGTGCAGGCCAGCTAGGAGAGAGAGGTTCGCGGGATGGGGGCCTCAGTGCTGGCTGGTGGGAGGGGATCGTGCTGCCGGGCATGGGTTCAGTGATGCCAGCGAGGGCAGGAGGGGCCTTCTAGAATGAGTCAGAGGCCTGCCCCTGCTTCTGGAATCAAGAGTAATCCCCGTCTCACCCCACCTGTGCAGTTACTCCCAAGATCAGCCCGTGTTCCTGCAGCTTAAGGATTATTTCTGGGTCAAGACACCATCTGTCTACGAGCTGCCCTATGGGACCAAGGGGAGTGGTAGGTTCCGCCTGGCCCAGCAGGAGCAATGGCTCGCCTTGGCCGTGCTGCTGCCTGTTCTGTGGGGTCGGGGGAGGAGTGGAGGGGGTCAGGGTGTAGCCTTTAGAGTACAAACTGCAGGCTCAGGCCCTTGCCTCCAATCTTCCTGTAGAAGACCTGCTCCTCCGGGTCCTGGCCATCACTAGCTACTCCATACCCGACAGCATCCAGAGGTAAGGATACCATCCCCCCTGCCACCTCCTGCTGAGCTCTGGCCCTTCTCCTCTTCCTGCCCCAATGTGAAATCATCTCGGCCCAGCGCCACCCCCCTGAGCCTTCCAGCCGCTGGTCTCTTGGGGCCAATTTAACCTCCCTCCCAGCCTGCCTGTCTCCAGGGGCTACAGGTACACGGATCCCCACGGCAATCTGGCCTGGGCATCCGGGTGTCAGAACAGACAAGAATCACCATGGCAACAGGCAGGCAGCAGGCAAGGGGGCTGGGTAGTGGGGTTTCTGGTTGGTCCTTCCCCTCCTTCTCCTCCCTCTGCCTGCTCTGCTCAGTCTCTTTTTAAGGCCCAGGGCTGCAAAACCAAAGTGGCCATAGTAGTACCCCTTGGCGCTGTGTGCTCCACGAGGAGGGGGCCCGAGGGGCAGCCTGGGGAGCCATCCTGAGACGGGCCTGGGCAGGTGCAGGGCTCTTGCTGGCCTTGACTGCTCCTCTCCCTGTGACAGTCTCAAGTGCCGCCGCTGCGTGGTGGTGGGGAACGGCAGCCGGCTCCGCAACAGCTCGCTGGGAGACACCATCGACAAGTATGACGTGGTCATCAGGTGTGTGACTGGCATCTGACATCCCAGACAGGGCCCTGCAGACAGGCCCAGGGGCTCCCGTGACGGCATCTTCCTCTCCCCACCAGATTGAACAACGCCCCAGTGGCTGGCTATGAGGGTGACGTGGGCTCCAAGACCACCATGCGTCTCTTCTACCCCGAATCTGCCCACTTTGACCCCAAAGTGGAAAACAACCCGGACACACTCTTGGTCCTTGTGGCTTTCAAGGCAATGGACTTCCACTGGATTGAGACCATCCTGAGCGATAAGAGACGGGTAGGTGGGGGGGACGGCTTAGGCGATGAGGCCTGGGGACGGGGACACTGTGGAGTCGGGACCTTAGTCCTGCAGGTCTGCAGAGCTGGCAGGGGAGGGGAGGACACGGAGTAGGTGCCCGTCGGTCAGCCTGCAGGCTTCCCAGGAGGTCAGCATCGGGACCGGGACACCGTAGGAGTTAGACACGGCAGCCAAGGGCACCCCACGCCCAAGAGCCGTGTGGGACAGGAAAGCTTGCGGAATGTGTGCCTCCTGAGAGAGACGTGGGGGCAGAGGAGCCCTGTGAGGCAGGGAGGCTTGTGGGAGGGGCAGGCTGGGACAGTGGGGCCCCTGCCCTCCCGGATGGCGTACAGATGGGGTCCCTTCCTTCCCTTTGCTATCTGGTCAGAGACTGAGTCATCCAAGCAGGCAAGTTTGCCAAGTGCTTAGACAGCCTAAAACATGAGCCTCTCCTGCCTGTGTGGGAGACCTTGGGAGTGGGCAGTGGCTGGACTACTACCCTCCGGTCTGCCTTCCTCTGGTGCAGGCTCCACCGCCCCTCCTTTGCTCCCTGCACCCCTGAGGGCCTCCACCGTCACTTGGGAGCCCTCTCATGGCTGAGGGTCACGGGCTGGTGGACTTGAGAAACAGGTCTCCACCCACTCTCCCGTCTCTGTCTTCCAATGCTATCCTCCTAGGTGCGAAAGGGTTTCTGGAAACAGCCCCCCCTCATATGGGACGTCAACCCCAAACAGATTCGGATCCTCAACCCCTTCTTCATGGAGATCACCGCTGACAAACTGCTGAGCCTGCCCATGCAGCAGCCACGCAGGATCAAGCAGGTGATGGCCCGAGGGCTGGGGTCCTGGAGTGGGAAGCCATGGAGGACCCCCTCTGGGAGTGGGAGAGAGAAACAGGCACAGTGGCTCACATTTGGTTCCCACAGACACGCCTGACACTAAAGTGAGGTTTCTTATCTGCAGCAAGGGCACTGTTGGTGCTGGGGGAGAATCCTGGGCATTACCATAGAGGGGAGTGACAGAGGTTCTGCACTGAGCTTGGGGGCTGGAGTTCCAGGATGGTTTTAGCAGGTGCTAGGGAGTTGCTGGAACAGCCAGTGGACCTGTCTTTGGAACAGCTTGGGCCTGTGTAGCATTGCCATCAGACACTTAGTCTGTGATCTTATCTGGGAACACATTGGTCCAATTGAGTTAAAAACTCTGCCCTGAACCTTCAGTCTTGTGTGTCATGGCTTGGTGCCATGTGTTGATCTGGGGAGTCACGGTACAGTTTTGTGAGTTATGGTTTTGATTTCAGCACTCAGTGCCCTGGTGGTCTTCCGCAGGTGGGTTTTATTCCACCTTGCAGCTTCTCAAGTACTTCCACCCATGTCTGGGAAGCTCTTGGGGGCTCGGTGGAGGCGTGCACAAGGAGGGAAAGCGGCAGACTTAGCGAAGACTCTGGGCTGTGCTCCTTCCTGGGTGGCGTTGGCACGTCAGCCACTTTGAGCCTCGGTTCGCTTGTCACTGTGGTGGGGCTAATATTCATGCTGGCCTTTTATAAAGAGATAACTAAGCACAATGCCTATCACAGAGGTTGGTACACAGTGCCTGCTCAATAAATATGTGTCGAATTCAGAATAGACAATTCATTCTTTACTCAGTATCTATTGTTTTTCAACTTCCTATGTTGATTGCCTGCTTTTATGACTGCCCACATCTGCATGCTTGGTGAGCGAGATGTAGTCTTTGCCTTTAGGAAATTCATTCTAGCAGAATAAACACGCAGGTTGCCCTATGGAGGAATGAGAAGCCAAAACTGTTCCGAATGCTGTGGGGTGGCAGAGGAAGGGGCACAGCTCTGCTGAGGGCTGTCTGGAAGGCAGCCTGTCTGGAAGGGGAATGGTGGGCCCTTTGGCAAGACCAAAGGGCTCCTCCGTACTGAGTCATGCTGTTTGCGAGTGGCATTGAGGACAACAACGAGTTGTATGGGTCAGGCAGGGTGTCAACGCGAAGGCTGGGGAGGAAGGGAAGAGAAGTTCAGGACCTACACCCAGTCCCGGCAGTGGGAAGGACTTCATAAGCACTTGTCACATTGTATTAGTTTCTGTCCTTATCTGTCCAAGGCCACAAAGTTAGAGGTGGAAAATAATACCCATGTTGACTCATAGGCCTGAAGGTTCTTGTCTACAGTATCATAAGGCTGATCACAAGAATAGAGTTTCCCTCTGAAGACCAGCAGATGCAAGGGGAAGCTATACTTTTAAAATTTTTTTAATTTATTTTCATTTTATTTGAAAGGCAGAGAGGGGGCCAGTGTTGTGGCATAGCCGGTTAAGCCGTTGCCTGCGATGCCGGCATCCCTTATGGGCACCACTTTCTGTCCCAGCTGCTCCACTTCCAATCCAGCTCCCTGCTAGAGGCCTGGAAAAATAGCAAAGATGGCCCAAGTACCTGGGCCCCTGCCACCCATGTAGGAGACCCAGAACAAGCTCCTGACTCCTGGCTTTGATCTAGCCTGGTCCTGAATCTTGTGGCTGTTTGGGGAGTGAACCAGCAGGTGGAAGATCTCTCTGTCTCTCTGTCTTTCCTTCTCTCTGCCTTCAAATAAATCAATCAGTCTTAAAGAATAAAGGAAGGGAGGGAGGCAGGCAGTGAGACCAAGACAGATGGAGCAAGACCTTTCATCCACTGGTTCACTCCCCAGATGCCCACCACAGCCAAGGCTGGGTCAGGCCAAAGCCAGGAGCCTGGGACTCCATCCAGGCCTCCCACATGGGTGTCAGGGCCCAATACTTGAGCTGTCATTTGCTGCCTCCCGAAGTGCACATTAGCAGGAAGCTGGATCATATGCAGAGTAGCTTGAACTCCAACCAAGGACTCTGATATAGAAGCAGGAGTCGCAAGCAGTGATTTAAACATTGTGCCAAACACCCGCCCTCCAACCTCATTCTTTTTTTTTCCCCCCCAAGATTTATTTATTTGAAAGGCAGAGTGGCAGAGTAAGGGACACACACACACATGTGGGGTCAGAAGGAGAGTAGAGATCCATCTCCCATCTGCTGGTTCACTCCCCAGATGGCTACAATGACTAAGTCTGAGCCAGGTTGATGCCAAGGGCCTGGAACTCCATCCAGGTCTCCCACATGAAGTGCAGGAACCCAAGCACTTTTCTTCCACTGCTTTCCCAGGTACATTTGCAGCGAGCTGGGTCAGAAACGGTGCAGCTGGGATTTGAACCAGGATCACAAGTGCTAGCTTAACCCTCTGCATCACAGCACAGGCCTCATCTAAGCTCAGTGGTACTGTTGAAAGAATTTAGCACTTGTGGTTGTGGGATTGAGGTCCCCGTTTCCTTGCTGGCTGTCAGCCTGGGCTAAGTGGGGACTCTCAGCTCTTGGAGGCTGCCTGCCTGCCTTGCCACACAGTACCCTTCATCTTCAAGGCAAGGACAGTGTGATGAATTCTCCTTGTGCCACAAATCTCTGACTTCCTCCATCTCTGACCTTGACACCCACACTTAAAAGGTGCAGCTGATTGGGCCAAGCTTGTCAGGACAGTCGCCCCTCTTACAGTTGACACTGTGTCCATGTGACATACACAATGTAATAGACTCCACCCTCCTCCTGGGTTGCCACAGGAGGAGGCAATAAAAGGGCCGTGCCATTGGCGATGCTCTTCTGTCGCCTGTGTTGTGTGGGTGGCACTGAGAGATTTATGACCAGTTCTGGGTTTCTAGCTTGGGCAGCTGGGTGGATGGTATCATGTGCATCACACACAGAGACCACAGGGAAGAAGAGGAGGCTGGTGAGATAAGGGGCTTGCGCCCAGGCAGAGATGGCTAGCAGGCAAGGGCAGTGTGCTTCCACTGGGGTCCAGGGTGGTTAAAGCAACCAGTGTGAACACAAGGCCCAGGCAGGGAGTGGAAAATGAGAAGACAGCAGAGCTCCAAAGGGATGCTAAGTGAAAGCGAGTGTTAAGAGGCCCGCCCTTAGAATTTCTGACCGCACACAATACATTATCTCATCCAGCCTTTAAAAAACACTCGACAGTAGGTACTTTGTTAGCCCCATCTTACAGATGAGAAAACTGAGGCTTACAAATATTAAGCAACTCCCTCAAGGGAAGGGAAGGGATCATCCCTCCCGTCTGAAGAACCTCACCTCATTCAGAAGACCTGGGGGCTCGATGCTCACTGGCCCTCCCCTTCTTCAAACTGGGGACAGCAAGGCCTTACCCCACCCTGCTTCGGGCTGTGATGGGGACCCTGCTTCCCCCGCCCCTCATTCCTCCTCAGGGATGGGCAGTCTGACAGTTTCACCTGGCCAACCTCGCCCTCCTCAGCTGTAGATGCCCACCCTGTGGCTGCCTACTGCCAGTCTGGGACCACTTCCTGGGCAGGGTGGGTGGGCTTTTTTTTTTTTTTAAAGATGTATTTATTTGTTAAAAAGCAGAGATACAAAGAGAAGCAGAGAGAGAGAGAGAGACAGAGGTCTTCCATCCACTGGTTCACTCCCCAAATGGCTGCAACAGCCAGGGCTAGGGCAGGACAAAGCCAGGAGCCAGGAGCTCCATCCAGGTCTCCCACATGAGTGCAGGGGCTCAAGCACTTGGGCCATCTTCTGCTGCTTTCCCAGGTGCATTAGCAGAGAGCCGGATCAGAAGTGGAGCAGCCAGGACTGGAACCAGCGCCCATATGGGATGCTGGCGCTGCAGATGGAGGCTTAGCCTGCTATGCCACAATGCCAGCCACGTGTGGCTGTTGACACTTAAGGTGCAGCTCCTTACAGTTTAATAAAGTGATCCAGCCAGGTGCTCAGTGGGCACGTGGCCATCCTGGTGGAGCACTTCCAGGGCTGCAGGCAGCTCCCCCGCAGAGCGCCAGCCCTGGCCCTGGGGGAGGAGCACGCTGCTCTGACACCTTCCTGCCCCTGCCCCTCAGAAGCCCACCACAGGCCTGCTGGCCATCACGCTGGCCCTCCACCTCTGCGACCTGGTGCATATCGCCGGCTTTGGCTACCCGGATGCCTACAACAAGAAGCAGACCATCCACTACTATGAGCAGATCACACTCAAGTCCATGGCGGTAAGTGGCCCCGCCCACGATCGGGGTGGGCAGATGGGCCTGGGGGCCTGGCGGGCTCACTGGGCAACAGAGAAGTATGCTGGGGTCCCCGAGGCGCTCCCCGTGAAGCCATCCAGAGTCAGGACTGGAACTGAGGCATCCGGGTGCCCCGTATTCTGCCTCTCGGATTCTTTCTTCCAGGAGCCAGCACAGGGGAGGGAGCTCCCAAGAGGTGTGGGGCGAGGGGAAGGGCAGAGAGGTCCCCTGGCATCCTTCAATTTGCCTCCCTGGCTGTCTTCACAGGGGTCAGGTCACAACGTGTCCCAAGAGGCCCTGGCTATCAAGCGGATGCTAGAAATTGGAGCCGTCAAGAACCTCACGTACTTCTGACCTGGGCAAGGACTGTAACCCGTCGGTGGCCCACGCCGCTCCCAGGGGCACCCCATCCATGGCTGTGGGGCGCCTGGGGCCCGCAGGACCACTTGAACTCGACTTCCCCATTTGGGGAGGGAGTCCCGAGCCTGGCCAGGCCTGACCTCAGGCCATGTCCCTGGCTGCTGCTGTGGAGGTCCATCCCCGGTCAGGGTGATGGCCCTGTGGCCGTGGGAGCCTGGCCAAGGCAGGGGGCTTATTGCTGTGGCAGCCTCTCTCTGCCAGCACCAAGAGATTATTTAATGGGCTATTTAAGTACGGGGTAGGAAAGCGCTGTGGGCTGGTCCCACGGCATCAGAAGAGGGGCACAGCACAGTGCTCCACCCACTTTTTATAAAAACCTAAGTCATGAGCCCACCAAAGCCCACCCAGACCCAGCCTCCCAGGGGGGCAGGGGCGTTTGGGGTGGGTGGGTGCCCTCCAGAGAGCGGCTGCTACCTCCCAACAGGCTTGGGAAAAGCACTGGTATGGGGGTTCTATCCAGAAAGGGACCTCACCTAGAAAAGAGGTTTCAAACCTATCATTAAACTATTTTTCCTAAAACGGAAGCAGAGGTGAGGCCTGTGTTCTTTCAGATCAGGGAGGATGCTGATGGGGGTGTGGCGGTGGCAGGCCCATCAGAGCCGGGCAGGGCCATTCCTGGAATGCTTACTGTCAAGTGCGGTGCCTGGTGCCCGGCCGTGCATCATCTCTTTGGCACAGTGGGCAAGCACGTGGTGCCCAGCGCATCGCTGTCTGCAGATACCCAGCCTGGTGTCCTGCCTCCTGGTTTCCTTCCCAGAGAGGCTGGGGACTAAAAGATGCCCCATGGGAGGGGCAGAATCCTTGCCCGTCTTTCTGGCTTCCCAAGCTTCACTTATCTGAATCTCGTGCCGGGAGGTGTGTCTTTCAAGCTCAGAGGTGGGGACGGACAAAGAAAGCCAAGTTTTCCTTCTCAGATCCAGTGGGAATAATAATGGAGTTTACGGAAGGCCTGGACTGTCAGCATGGGTGTGGGCAGGGCTGGAGGGCAGTGTCGGAGGATCTGGCAGAGTCCCCCAGCCAGTGGCCAGGCTGCGGGACAGACTTCGAACAGCCCTGCCGTTTGCCCGTCTCCCGCCTTGGCTGCCAACTGGGCCTCCTGCCACTCCCACAGCTGTTCCTTTACATCTGGAGCCAGCAGGGAGAGCTGGAAGTCCCCTATGGGGAATGAGACTCGCAGCTGTGTTCCTGGCTTTCTCGGAAAGAGTCGCAGCCTTGTGAGTTTGAGACAGCCAGGCTGGGACAGGGCGGAATAAGAGGGGCAGCGATTTGAGAGGGAAGGAGGAGGATGACCCGGGTCTCCACAGTGCTGGAGTGGCTTGGCGAACACACGACCTCATCCCACACAGTCCCAAGGACTTTCCCAGAGAGGGGCATTGCCTGCTCTCTCTGAGGCCAACGCTTGCTGGCTGCTCTCTCCCTGGGGAAGGGGGGGCTCTGAAAGCCCCCAGGACCTCTCCTCTGTCTTCCACAGTTTGTCCTGACCCCGACAGAGGTGGGAGTGTGTGTTGGTTGGGGTGGGGGCAGGAGACTGTCAGCTCTGCTGGCCCCAGGTTCTTAGGGGAGAGTATGTGAGGGAGTGTCCTTCTCCCCATCCAGGGCTATTCAAAGTGGCTGTCTCCAGACATGCTCCAGCTGTCTTGGGACCGAGGCCACCGTCTGTTACTAAACGTGCCTAAACTTGAGCCAGAATCCAACACAAAGGAACAGGTCAGCCCTCCAACTGCACACACACGCACGCACGCATGCACACGCAGACACCAGCATTTCACATTAGCCTTGGGCGCTGTTGGTGATTCCATATGCAGTAAGCCCCTGTGATCACCTGCAGAGAAGAGTGTGTGTGTGTGTGTGTGTGTGTGTGGCCAGGGTAGGGGGGCAGGCATTGCTTTCTCCAGGGTGTTCCAGTTTGAGGCCATACTGGCACAGGGTCGGAGCTGGGGGTGGAGCTTTGGTGTGGGATTGTTGGATGGGGTTCTTTGGTGTTCTGGGAAAGAGGCTCAGCCTTCAGTGAGCCCAACCAATGTGGAGGAGCTGCCTGCCAGCCTGCCTGGTACTGATTAAGCTTTGCCCTGAAAAGAGGGCCGGCTGGGTGGAAGCAGGACGGCTGAGTTCTGCCTCTTAATTCCGCACCATCTTGGGCCAACTGCTTCTCCTCGAATAGGCCCCCATCCCTGCATGCCCTGAAACTGGAGGGTTGCGCCAGCCAACAGGGGCTATCTGGGGTGATTTCAGAATGGAGACTGCTGGCTCCTCCCCAGGCCGCTGGGGATGGGGCCCAGGAATTTGGAATTTTAACAAGCACCCAGAATCACTGCTCTAGCCGTCTAGACTCCAGGATGAGCTCATTGGCCTCTTTCAACGCCACGGTCGGCTCTGCGTGTACAGCTCTTCTTAATCCGCGTGCCCTTGAGCCGTGCTAATTAGGCGCACGCGCAGCTTCCTCTAGCGGGCGGGTGGGCGCCGCGGGAGGAACCGCGCGCTCGGCTCGGCTCTGCTCGCCGGGGGCGGAGCCGCGCATGCGTCGCGGGAGAGGCCGGGCACGCCCGCGGGGGCCTCTTGGGACTCTGGCGCCGGCGCCTGGCTTGGCAACCAGCTCGGAGGCTGGCGACAGCTGCCGAGGGAGGCCGGCGTCGGGTGGGCTGGGGGCGTCGCCGCTGCGCGCGGGTCTTGCACGCGGGGCGCGCCGCCTCCCCCGGTGTGCGGGTGCCCTTCTGCGCCCCTCCTCTCGTATGACCTGCTTTGAGTCCCTTGCAAAAGCCGGGGTGAAGCCGACCTCACTTTCTAGGCGACTGGAGAGCTCTGCGCCGCCCGATAGAGACGCTGCACGTGCCTCCTCCTCTCCACCTGTCGGCCAGGCCGAGAGCGGAGGTCTTTAGCCCAGGGGACATATTTAAATGCTATTGTGTATTGGTGTCACATGGGTGCCTTAATTTGGCACCCTGTAGGCTTTTACTTACACTTGCCTAGGACCTAAGTACTTTCAGCTGCTTTCCTCCCGAGACTACGAGAACCTGGAGCTTACAGAGTTCTGTCTGGGAGGCAGGCAGGTGTAGTGCACACAAAACGTGGACGGTTGGATCATGCCTCCTACTCGCGGCTTTGCTTTAATGAGCCGAAAAACCTCTGCTTCCCTCCTGGAAATAGTGATCGCGCCTGCCTGTCTCACAGTGAGGACGTTAGGAGCTGACAGGAATATGATCGTGAAGACATTTTGTAGACTGTAAAGTAGCATAGACTGGGATATGTGTTTGTCAGGGCATGGTGGGAAAATAGAGAGCGCATCACCCCGGTGAGATGGGTTCGTGGGGCCAAATGCTTATCCTTCGCGGAAAAGTCTTTGTCTTCCAGTCACCTGCTGAGCTACATAGGGGCCGGTAGGACAGTGGAATGACTCAAGCTCACATTGCATAATCAGAAGAGGAGCAGTGAGTTCAAAGAGATGGGTAGCAGCGGGTTTTCAAGCTGAAGTTGGACATCTTTAGGGGTTCTTGGAGAAAGTGGTCTCTGGGGAGACAGTATCCATTGCATCATGCATTTCAATGGCATGTAGCTTACCCTAAGTCCCTAAACAAAGGCTGAGACATAAGCCCTCCAGCCTTCCTTACTGAAGTCTTAATTACAGCTTAAGGAAACTGTTAGTCTTGAGCACCCTTAAACTCTACATTCATGGTTCCAGGAAATCAGACCTTCCAAATTAAAATTTCAAGGAGGGATAGCTAGGTGGTCCCCCAGTTACAAAGGTTTAACTTAGGATTTCTGACTTTATGATGGCGCGAAGCACCGTGCCTTTGGTTGAAACCATCCTTCAAGTTTTGAATGTTGCTCTTTTCCCAGGCTAGTGGTATGAATAGGATGGTGTCCCATGCTGGCAGTGACCACGAGCTGCCAGGAGATCTCGAGGGGCACAGCTGACGGGCCACAGCAACGGGAGCGCAAGCCCACGTGTATTTCAAGGCTGTACTTCAGGAAGCTGCAGAGTGGGAGGCAGGCGGGAGAGACTCCAGTGTCCGGAGTGCGGGGGAGTTTGACAGAAGTCTTTAGGGCAAGAAACGGACCTGGGGAAGCGAGACCTACTTCTTGCCCCATTTCTGGTTCCCAGGGAAGATGCAATTTGAAGTACACCAGCCCCTCCACAGAGACCTTGCTTACTCCCAAGAGCTTTGCAGGACTTGGGAGGGTGGAGTTGGGTGGAAAGAATGAGAGAAGGCTCAGATGTTGAAACAGCCGTAGGGGATCAAAGTTGGAATTACTGAACTAAACTATTCCAGAACCATCTATTATTCTGAGGCTTCTCAAATACTGTTTACGTACATCTCCGACTTTAACACTTGCCCAGTGTCTTCATTTGCGAAAAATGTGTCTCTCTCCTTACTAAGCCCAGAGCTGCTCTCCTTGAGAAGAGTCCGAGGTGGAGTGTGGTAGGGGGGTGCCCTCCAGTTCCATGTCCTCTTTTCTCTCTGGCTTTATGCTGCATGATGTAGCCCTTTTGCATGGCAGGAGAGCTAGAGAAACAGTCAAAACCCAGGTAGAAGTCCTTATCTGGAAATTCTGTTTTTGAAATTCCCAAATCTGTATCTACATCCCTTGTTCTCTATTTGCCACCTTTCAGTGTATCCGGGAAACGCAGTGCCTGATGGTGTCAGGCATAGACTTTTAAGAGGTAAAATTACAGAGAGAGAGAGAGAGAGAGACAGAGACAGAGACAGAGACAGAGAATCTTCCATCTACTGATTCACTCCCCAAATGATTACAATGGCTGGAGCTGGGCCAATCTGAAGCCAAGAACCAGCAGTTTCATCCAGATCTCCCACGTGGGTGCAGGGGCCCAAGCACTTGGGCCATCTTCCACTGCTTTCCCAGGTACATTAGCAAGGAGCTGGATTAGCAGTGGAGCAACCAGGACTTGAACTGGTGCCCATATGGAATGTCAGCAGCACAGTCGGAGGCTTAACCTACTACACCACAGTGCCAGCCCCCAGGAATAGACTTTCCAATCCACTAACAGAGTGTTGGTTCCTGAACTTCCTTGTGGAGGTGGTGAAGGTGGACATATTTAACTTAGTCCACCATGAACTGGTCTTGGCCTAATTGGGGGTGATCTTTAAGGGGATGAATCACTTCCTCTGTTCAGCCCCTGTCCCAAGTAGAACTTTTCCTTTGGTGTAACTGGGAATAGATTTAAGAAAAGTCCCTTGGGGCTAGTGCTGTGGCACAGCGGGTTAACACCCTGGCCTGAAGCATGGGCATCCCATATGGGCGCCAGTTCAAGACCCGGCCACTCCATTTCTGAGCCAGCTCTCTGCTATGGCTTGGGAAAGCAGCGGAGGATGGCCCAAGTCCTTGGGCCCCTGCACCCACATGGGAGACCCAGAAAAAGCTCCTGGCTCCTGGCTTCAGATCGGTGCATCTCTGGCCAATTGGGGAGTGAACCATTGGATGAAAGACCTCTCTCTCTCTCTCTCTCTCTCTCTCTCTCTCTCTCTCTCTCTCCTCTCTCTGTGTAACTCTGACTTTCAAATAAATA